TGGGAAGAGCGCTTTTGCTTATTTCACTGAGACTGGCTTCCTCAACACATTTGGCCACTCCTGCCTAGAAGGGTCGACTTCTGCTCCTTTCACTAGACCCTAATGGGGAGAGCAAGAGTTTTAATTATTTGCATTACTGACTAGAAGTGCAGAATCCAGCAGCAACAGTCACTTTCACTTCCAACAAATTTAACACCTCAAACAAGGCTGGGATCCAGTCACTGGAGTATTAGTTTCTAGTCCGCCCACTTCTTTTCTCAAAGCATTTCTATATTGGAAAACCGCCACACTTCCGCTTTTCTATAAGTGACCTTGTAGCCCTTTTCATGACAAACCTTCAAACCGATAATGTTCTTCAACACCTAAAAAAAGGAACATCAACTTTATACGAATCCTAGTGCTGCATTCCCGTAGAACATCGCCACCTCCCCCTGGTCTTGTCCTGCTCCCCACATCGATAATTCTCCAATTCCCTTTGCACATAAGCAACAGCCCACCGCCTCGTTTCCGCTTCGACAGCGGAGCCGCCCACGTCCAGACTCTCCCTGGGCGCTCCAGCCTCACTTGCACTTCCGGGCGCCAGCCCTTACCTCGTAGCCGCATGTGGCGGCAGCTCCCCGCAGCACCGAGGCCCCGAGCAGCAGCCCCAAGAGCGGCGGCAGCAGCCCCATCGCGGCAAACCTCCGAACAGTCCGCTCTCCACTGATCATGTGACCAGCCGCTCACATGACCGATGGGCGAGCTTCCCGAAAAGCCACGCCTCCTCCGGCAGCGCTCGGGCCGCTAAACGAAAGCGCCTGGTGGGCGGGTCCGCCTTTGAACTCATCCAGGAACGTTGTCGCTCTTTTTAATTGGCTAGTGAGAAAGGAGTGGGTGGAGACAATCGGAAGAGGCGGGAGGTGAGTTGACGCGGGAGGGAGAAAGGGAGTGTTGCGGCGCGAAGCCGGCGCAGAAGCTGCTGTGTGAGCGCAGCAGGACGGCAGCAGTACTGTAGCCCAGCGCTAACTGGAGCGCACGTTTTACAGCAGAAGCGGGGAATGCTTGGCCTACCAGAGGGCGGTGAACTGCGGCTCCTCTCGCCCCTAGCGGCAAAGCGGGTGGTGAGAGATGATGGAAGTTGCCGCCTAAGAACATGGTGGGGCCCAGGTGTCCCCCAGTCCTGATTTACACGGAGGCAGTAGGCTTAGTCCAACAGGTCGGGTTGGAGGAAGCCCCAGTTTAAAAGCCTGGCGACCCGCTGCTAGTCATCCGAGCTCTATGGGTCAGTGGTTCGGCTTGGTATGAAGCAGCTTCCTGTATTCCTTTCCCAGTTCCCCCAGGTACTAGGGGTGAAGGCAGCCTTCTCCAACCCAAGGCCCTGCAGATATGTTGGACTGCAACGCTCATGATCTCTCAGCCAGAGCTCAAAAAGAAGCACTAACCCCACTGACCTTGAGGCCAAGGCTTTTAAAAAGGAGCTGCACAGTGGGTTGGGAGCTTAAATTCTGTGCATAGTGTATGATGCTACAGTGCACCAGGAAACGTTCCTTGTATGTGTGTGCAAGCGTTGCTGCTTAAAGTCATATTCTGTGTCATTGAGAAGCCTACCTAGTGTGGAAGAAAATTCTCTGGAGAAGTTGGCAGCAGCAGAATATATTCAATCTTGCCAGATCCAACCAAAAAAGACTAGCTTAGAACAAGGAGGTATTTTGTTAAAATTAAATGAAAGCCTATGTACTTACTTGCTGTCATGTGTCTTTGCAGTAAGTAAATTTTTGTCCTGTTTGCGATCGATTTTCCTGTCCATGTGGCACATTCGCCCTCCCCAGTACTTATAAAAGGACCCCAACTTTAACTTCCTCATGCTGACCCTGCAGGGTGCACATTCTGAGAAGAGCTGTGGCTCAGTGGTAGAGCACCTTTTTTCCATGCAGAAGGTTCCAAATTCCATCCCTGGCGTCTTCACGTAGGACTATGAAAGAATCTTGCCTGAAACCTTGGAGAGCAACTGCTAGTCAGTGCTGACAGTGTTGGATCTGCCCTGGCATTAGGCAACTTCGAATGCATCCCGATGTATGTTTGACAGGAAAAAGCCCTACAACATGCTGGGGCATGCTGGGAGTTGTAGGGCTTCTTCTGTCTAAACATGCACAAGATTGTGATCTTACGTTAAATGATTTTTTCTGTAGGATGGAAGATGGAAATAGGCTTAATTTTGGGTGGGGGGCGTGTTCTAAAGAAAGCCTATTCTGTGATGTGGTGGTAGCAGTGAGTCTGGGACATGAACTGTGTCATAAGAAAAATCAGGACTGTCTTAGATGTGGAAACTCGGTTGACCCAAGGACCAGCACTGCTAAACAAGGACGTTGGGATTTCCATACTAGCAGTGGACAAGTCCACTGCCTAAGGTTGGTGGGGCTGCTACTTATAGCCCCCCCCCCTCACACTCACACACTCAGGCCTTCATGCACATATCCTATTCAGAGACACACACTGGTCCAAGGAGCACTCCTTGAGCTGGTGGGTCAGGCAAGAGTCACTCTTCCCTTCCTGTCTTACTTCTCTGAGATGTTAGAACTCCAGGGAAGGGGCTTCACAGGAAGCCTTCGTGGGCCCAGTTTGGTCCACAGGCTGGAGGCTCCTGGTCTCTGATGATCTAAAAGATCCCTGGAGAGAGTGGAGAACACATGCTTCCCAGGTACCTTGTTGAGGTAGGGATGTGGCTGACTTCTCACAGGAACGATTAATCTAGGCAAGTTTTCAGTCCTCTCAAAGCTCAATTATTTTCTCCCTAAGTGTGGTTGCAATAGTTCCTTCTGTAAGCAGGCTTACTTCACCGGGGACTGGGCAGATTGCTGTGCTGTTGGCACTTTCAGGCCAATCTTGCAATCCTGGAACCTTGGAGAGCCTATGCTAATCAGTGCTTACAATAATAGGCAAGTGCTGCCAGCAGCTGACCTGCAGCTTCATCCCAATAAAGTCTGTTAAGAATGACATTTGGAGTCTTTTCTAGCACCACACTGTCCTTAACACAACACTAATAATTTAATGTGAGCTGTCAGGAGAGAAGTCCCCATATTCTAAAATGATTTCCTTCATCTGGGAGACATTGGTAAACACTATGTGGAGTCTGCAGAGAATGTCTTAGCTGGAAGTAAGGGGAGTAGAAATAAGTACAGTTAATCAGTTTGGGGTTTCTAGAGATATCAATGTTTTCAGCCATTTTTACATCAACAAAGAGATGTAAACTTTTAGAATTTTAGAATTCGAAGTATCCTAGGATTCCCAGGAGCATGGTTTGAAAAAAAACTGTATAAATGAGACAGTGGGACAAATGTGATTAATTTAAGAGGCACATGGGAACCCAAAAACAGATAAATCAAAACTGAAATATTCATATTATCCTTATTCAAGTTTTATTACTGCTAGTAGCTAGTAGATCAGAATAATATCTGTTCCCTTGAGCACAAGCCTATCCAACTCTCCATCCTTCTTAACTGATCAAATATTTTAACTCAATCAAATGTAGATACTTTTTTCCCCCTCTGGGCTAATGTTTGTCCTCCTTTTCTGTTACTCTCATTCTTTTTTTTCCTGGTTTTGCCTTTAGCAGTTAAGTTGCTTTAATTAAAACAAGTATTTCTGTTCAGTTTTGGTGGTCAGATTGTGATGGGGAACTTGTGACTCTTGTACACACCTTGTTCTAGTGCAGTCTTCCCCAGACAGGTGCCCTGTAGATGTTTTGGAACACAACTCCCATGAGCCACATCCAGTATGGTTCAGGGCCCAGGAGAGATGGGGGTTGTAGCCTGAAACATTTGGGTGCCAGGTCAGAGAATGGGATGACCTGGGTGGTGTGCTCAGAATAACTTAAATCACATTCTGGCACAATCCTATGCATGTTTGGATAGAAGCAAGTCCTACAGATCTAGCATTCCCCATCCAGGAGTGAGCTCTTTAGAGATGCTGTGCACAATGTACACATTAAGGAACAATCTGAGTGATTAAGAGTGGCAATATGGCATTTTCAAAACCTATAGCTGCAACTATTGTAATCTACATTACTAGCTATATTGATGTTGGGGGTGGGTTGTTATTCAATATTGATTCTTAAAAGTCAAAGAATATGATCTTATCTATGCTTGTAGTTCTTCATCATGCAGTAATTTTTGTTCAGACTAATTCCAGCAAGTAGTTTTTATTGAGCCTCCTTCTGCCTTGTACATATACCATGGTAAGAAGCTGAAGTTCTGTGACTGGCTTCAGTGAAAGTGTTTGGTTTCCACAGTTATAGACCAAATCAACAGTAGAATCTTTCTGATCTTTAATGCAAACAAACTGAAAGCAGTTTTCATCCTGTCAGTCCAGAAAATATGAAGCAAGACTGTGTTCATGATGCTATCGCAATGCATCTTGATTGAATTCACTATCTGAGTTGTGGGAAGTGGGACTAATCCACATTTATTTTAATGCTAAACATTTTAGTGCTTGTACTAAAATGGCCTCAACTTCTGGGGTATCTTGTGTCCGGCAAGCTAGAGTACAGGCTCCATCAGGCTTGTTTCAAATAACAGAGAGACATACAGCTCTCTGCCATGCACAGTTACACAGAAGTGAGTATCAATGAATTATTCTCAAGGAAGTGGACCTTGGATTGCAACTCCAGTGTTTGCCTTTGCGCCAGTTCAAAGACCTACCATCTCATGCTTACATTATACAATTTAGCTTGCGTAGAATTTAGGAGCATGCCTTTGGCTAATTTTAGAAGTTGTTTTTAATGTATTTTTTATTTTATCCAGATAGCAGATGCTTATGACTAAGGGCAGCCATCCCACACTTTCCTCTCCTAGGAAGGTGAGTTCAGACATGCTGCTACCACCCATCCTTTTGCTGAGTTACCACAGATTAGGGCCTCTTCTCCCTGACACCAGTTTATAGCTGAGGAATTACTGCTGGACTAGCCTCAAGATAGTCCGAAGGTGGTGGTTATCTAAATAAATAAATAAATAAATATATCAAGTGGCCCTGAAATTTTTAGATGTGCATGTAAACATGCAAAGTTTGTATTTGGCAGATACTTGTTTGCAATCTATTCTGCCATATGGGTATACACCAGGAAACCGTGATTGTCCGTAAGTGGCATGTACGTGCACAGTGGCAAATTAATGCTGGCTCCTGCAAGAGGTTTGCAGTGCCCCCAAGGCAGCCTTCCCTAACCTTGCACCCCTCCCCCATACATTTCATACCTAAAATTCCCAGCTGGTCCAGCCAACGTGTCAATGGCTAGGAAATCTGGAAGATGTAGCCTAAAACATCTGGAGGGCATCAGTTTGTGGAAAGCTGTCGTAAGCCAGGGGTCAGACTAGATGGCCCAGGAGACCCCTTCTGACTCGCTCTGTTCTATGTTAATAGGTTAGGTGACTAGATAGATACTTTCTGATTATATGCTCAAATTTAATTCATTAATCCTTGCAGTCCATTTAGTAGCTTAGTCAAGGGTGGAGAGTGAAAACAAAGCGATTCACCTGCTGTCCCATTCAGCATCTCATCCAGGTGCTGAATATAATAGCTTTGAGTGTGGTGTTAGGTCTGCTTTGTCGCCTTGTCACACTGGACAGGCATGTCACCAGGCTTGGTAGGGCTGAACACGGATGTATCGGTGCACTTGTGAAGCAACTGAGTGAAGAACCGAGTCCAGCCCAAAGACCCCCACGGGCCAGCTTCTGCTGTATGTTCTGTTGCTCATGCTCCTCGTCTCAGAAGGTGGTACACTGCAGCACTTGCTCATGCAATACTATACATCTCCCTTCATGCAGCATCATTTCATCATACAAAGGGAGGGGTGAGGGGGAGAAAGAGAAAGCAAAGCACGAGGAAATTAACAATAAAGCACATTTCAATCAAAAATTCTTTTTTTAATATTTTTGTTTTTTAAGGATTTTTAATTTTTTTTCATTTGTCTTTTTACTTTGTTTCATGCAATATTTCACAGTCCCAATCCCACAGGTTTTTTTTAACTTTTTTTTTCAAACAAGTAGGAAAAAAGAAATTAAGAAGCTGAGGAATTATTAATTTTTGATGTCATTTCTTTTTCTTTTTCAAGCAGGACCAAAATGTCAGAAGAAAATGCTTCATTTTTTATCAATTATTTTTGTCCTTTTTTATTTTTTTCTGTTTGTTTTATTATTTCTTTTTTTATCTCTGCAGGCAGTAATATTAGGGTTTGGTATAACCAGCAAGCACTCCTGTGTGTGTGTGTTTGTGTGTGCGTGCGTGTTGGGTATGTGTGTTCGCGTGCGTGTGTCCCTCTTAAAATGTCAGGCCACAAACTTTTTTAAAAACTTTTTGTTGTTGTTTTTAAGTTAACCAGGTAAATTGAGATGATAAAACTCATCAATAGAAGCCCAGAAAAATATTTTTTTGTCTTTTTGCTTCATTTTACATTTTTTTTTAAAGGTTTTTGTTTGTTAAACTTCCAGAACATCTTTGCTCAGGTTGACAGACACCTTTCTGATTCTCCCACCCTTGCCCCTAGGTAAAGTGGCTTCTGGTCTCGTTTCTCAGAGGCATAGTTAGCTGCAGCATGGGGCTCTTGGACTGCACAATTTCCCCACACCTGAGTGCATTTTCTTTTGTAAATTCTGAGTAACGTCCCTCCCTCCCACCCTCGAATCACCACACACAACTTGATCTGTAAAAGATAAACATGCTCTGATCTCCCAGGCCCTCACTTCCCTGGCCTCCCCCCAACCCCAACCCCTGCCCCCCACCCTCCCCAAAAATCCCCCAACAAAAGATAAAAAGTTTCTTTCCCTTTCCCACAATTGCAGGGCTCCCCTCCAGGACGCCTTCCTCAACCAGTAGGCAGTTCGTGGTTATTCTTCCGCCCGCCCGCCTCTACCAGCTTCCCTCCCCCCCAACTGGGAAATTCATCCCTCTCGGGTGTGTGTGTTGCGTGTGTTTTGCGCACGTGTGATGTGAAACCACTTCTAGGTTAGCAGCAGTCGTCCTCATCAGTTTCACTATAAGGTTCATGCAGTCCTTTGCGTGATCCTGTCCCACGCGATTTGGCTGGTCCATGCGAGTGATAGTATCCATTGGGCAGCCGCCGCCCGTGCCTGGAGGGGGAGAGAGAGGACGAGCTGCTGCCCACCCGGGAAGTTCTGGGCGACCGTCCTGAGCTGCTCCCCTGCTGCATTGTCTCATAGGAAAAGGCCTCTTCTCCGGCCGGGCCAGTGTACTCCGGGCTCCGGTAGTAGCCACTGCCGTGACGAGGTCCTGGGTGGGGCTCAGAGACGTGTGGGGCCGACCACCGGCTGCTGGCGTGGCGGTAGGCCCGGGGCGAGTCGTTCCGCGGCGGGACCGTGTGCCGCTCCATCGCGGGAGACCTGCTGCGGCGCTCGGCGAGGTGGTGCTCGGCGGGCAGCGAGGGGTAGCGCCTCGGTGCTGGGCTGGATATTCGGCTGGGGTGCACGGGCTGCTGCTGCGGCTGCTGCGGCTGCGGGGGCCCGGCGTTGACGGCCTTGCGGACCACGGGGGAGTAGGAGACATGTGGCCGGGGTGTTGAAGGGGTCTGTGGGAGCTGGCGGCGTCCTCGCTTCGGGGTGCTGGTGCCAGACGTTGAGAGGACTGGACTCCCACTTACGGAACTACTGCCCTACACGAAAATTGAAACAAAGGAAATCAAAAAGAAAAAATATACAAGGAAAATCAACCAAGAAGAGACAGGAGGAAAAGTGGGCAGGATTTCGGGTGGGGTGAGGTTGACACGGAGACCAGGACGAGAAAATAAGGGAAGCAACGGAACGAAAAGAATTGAATGGCGAAAATAATTAAAGCAACAGCCACATCAGGGTGGACGGGAATCGGAGGGAGAGGAGGGCAAGGAGACAACCAAGAAGGGCAACAATAATAAGTAAGTATTAATAAGAATTAAAAAGAAATTCAACACAAAAACAAAAGCAAAAAGAGAAATGAGAAATGGAATTTTTGTAAGTTCCAGGGTTTAAAACGTAGCAAAAAGCTTTTAAAAATTACTTGCACGCTTCCAAAGAAATAAAATTAAAAAGGAAAGCAAAACAAGAGGAGAGAAAATCAATTTATTAAAAAGAAAATAAAAAAAAAACAGTTTGAAGGAGAGAGGTGGGGCGGGGGGGTTGCAAAGCATGGGTCATACTGCATGTTATCAAAAAGCGATTGAGGGGAAACTCAGAAAAGAAAAATATCTGGAGCTGAAAGAGGAAGTTGTAGGCTGGAACAGATAAGGGCAGGATTCGGGAAGTGGCAGTGGGTGAGATTAGGAGTAAGGATCTAGCAAGGAGAGATGAGGGAGAGCACTGGGTCTGGAGAAGTTTGGAACCGAGCCGAACTCTTGAGGGATTCTGTGGAGAGCTGCTGCTCTGTGCTCAAGACATGTTTGACCATCAGTGTTTTCTCTGTCGGTGTTGCTTGTGCACTAATAGGAAAGCCCATTCATTGCCAGCACTCTGGCCCCGCGGCCTTTGCTCTGAGTGCCTCCCATCATGGATAGATGGATGGCCTACCTTCTACATTTCCCTGGTTTGGCAGGAAGAAAATCCCCACACCTGCCATATGCCCCTCTCATATGCCGCAAACTTGCTAAGTAAATGTAAATAACGGTAATACGGTCCATCAGTCGTATTATGGATAGTGTCACCATGGCTGGTAGAGACACGTGATGAGACACCCCCCCCCCCCCCCAGACATTGCCACCATTCTTTCACCTCCTATCGCTTGCCGCCAGTCTGTGCCATGCATCCTGCTTCTGACTGGCCATGCCCTGTAGAAAAATACGTGGACACTAGATGCGTGTTCTCATTTCAGCCATGCCTGGACAAGTTAGTGGAAGCAGTGTGCCCTCTCTCCAGTCTAGGAGGGCCCTGAGCCAAGGGAGGCTTTCTCCAACTTTGTCTTTATTGACTTGCACTGTTGTCCTCTGAATATAATTAAGGTAAAACAGTGTATGCTTAGAAGGGGGAAAAGCCTACAACTTCCAGCATGCTTCAGCCTTTTTCTGGCTAAACATGTATAAAATTGCACCCTCAATGTTTTCCCATTGCTCAAAATGGCTGAGAGGTAACAATACACCAGATCAAAATACCAGCCCCAAACTTAAGAATAGGTACTTTGTGCAAAGCCTCACTGAGGCTGATAGACTTTTGGGAGCCCCTTTGTTAACACACAGGCACTATAATATGGTGGATTCTAGGGATGGGTTACACATTCAATTTTGCTCAGGTTTTCATTTTTTTCCTACTTATTTCATTTGATCTGTATGCATTTTCATGCATGTATACACATTTTTCTATGCATTTTTGCAAGCAACATTTTTCCATTAAGTAAAGCCTTTTTTTCAAAATATACACGTTTCTGTGTACTTTTGCAGATGTACACATTTTTTCAAACTATTTTTCATTAAACATTTTGTGTACATTCTTCAAAATATTTCATGCACACTTGTATGTTTTGTGTGCATGTTTAAATGCCTGTACTTTATGCACAATTATTCACAAGTTACACTTTGAATTTCAAGAAATAATGGATTTTTGATGTCTACTGTATTCTGATTTCTCTTTAGGCTTGGGAAGTGCAAATTTGATAAATCTGCATTGAAATGCAAGCAGCATGAATTTGTCCCCCATGCACTGTTGATTCTTAACTTGAACAAGTGGCACAAGTCACACTTCTACAGTTTGTGACCTATTCCTGCTTATTGTCTTAATCCTCCTGTTCTGTTTCTTACCTTTACATTTCCTGGTGTTTTTTTCTTATAGGAGGTTAAAATGTTCATTTGAGCCTATTTCCTGTTACTTGTTCCCTATGTGTATGTTGTTACTGTTCATTTCAATTCAATTCAAAATGAAAATTAAATACACATTTTAAGCACTTTATATACAGCTCAATTTAACAAATGATTAAACCACACATGTAAAAAACTATGTGTTTCTGGATGATGTTTTGCACAAATGGTGCCAATCTGAGTGGGGGTGCAGGTTGTGCCATTTTGTGCAAAATAGCACCTGAAAAATAAATGGCTTAATGAACTAGTCTTACCAAAGACACATGCTTTCCCAGGACCAGGTTTTGTGAAAATATTATTGATAGTTTTAAAAAAGTGTGGAAGTCACTGTCCATTTTACAGTTGGAAGTCTGTGAAAAATCTTTGCTTGTTCTGTTTTTTATCAACAGAATAGAAACTGAGAAGGAATTCTGGTGAGTTAAGACAAGTCAGATTTCCCTGTTTCAGTGCATCCCTGGTTGTAGGATATTTTGGATTTCCAGATCCAAGGTCAGAGATGGATGTCCCACCTTGGAACTAGAAATTGTTCTGACCCCACTCTACCCTTTTACAGCTAACAAGAAAAGAACTGGCTGGCATGTCAAGATCAGGAACTTGAACTTGGAGAGCTGGTAAAATGGGTGTTCTGTGGGACAGGAAGGGGAGTGCAGAGGGTAGGATGCAAGATTTCCTGTGTTCTCCACAGGTTCCTTGCCCCCTTCTCCAAAGCACCTCCACTAGACAGCCAAAACTGACTAAAAATACACAGCAGGAGATGCAGGGAAGCAAAGATCTTCACTGATCCCTCCATTCTTCCCACTTTGCTAAGATGCTTTTAAGCCTCTAAGTTTGGGGGCTTCCAGGCATCACAGATGCAAGCCACAGACTTGTGCCCTAAGTGCAGTTTATCTCAAACCCTTTTCATCACTATTGATTGGAGGAGTCCCCTCCAACTATCAGTTTCTCCTCCTCCTGCCACAGGCTATGTTCCTTAGGAAGTTTGTCACTTATGATGGGGACCATTGTGGCTGATTCATGCTATTCTTGTCTTAAGACTAGAGCCTAACCTTGGAACTTTTTGATGCAGACTATATAGAAACTAACCTGTTTATTTCATTTTTATGCTGCCTCAGTCTTAACCTTAATCTATCTTTTATCTTTGGAATCTGGAATTTGATACTCTAAGAATTATTTTCCCCATGGGTCAGATCACACTTTCATACTGCACATTGAAAGGTAAGAGGAAAGCAGAATGAAAGTCAGTGGTGTCATTTTGAGGCCCTGTGGATAAAAATAATGGCAACTCCCATAAAAGAAGTTAGTAGCCCTCACTGCCCAGCAAGCTATTCTGCAGATCAGCCCTTCCAGGGTTCAGAAAGTTCAAACATTTCTCCTGATGCTAGAGAATGGGCCTGTGAAACTGAGGCAGTATTTTCACTAGTTTAAGGTAGAATATATACTCTTAGATCATATCTATCCATCCAGCCCATACTTTCATATACCATACATCCACCCTCAACTAATTTTACTGATACCAGAACTTGAACAGCCAACAACTAAGAAATGCAGAGGATCAGTTACTTAGCTGTAGAAGGGCAAATTGAAGGTTGACCTAGACTGACTCAGGTAAAACAGATGGGACAGTCAAGGTGAAAAGATGGTGTTAGGCTATGCCTTCCAGGCTGCAGCTCAGAGAGTAGCAGAAAATAAGAGAAAGAGGCTTTATGTCTTCTGGGGAAAAGCAGCTTAAATATGAATGGAAATCTCGCTAGGGACAATGACTCAGTGCACAATAACAGACAGTAGGACCTAATTAATTCTAAATGCAGAGACAAGTGAGCAAAATGACAATGAAATTCCCAGTTGGACCAGAAAAATAATGCCCCCAGAATAATGGCATTGTCAGTCAGTGGCCACCAAACATTAAGGAAAAAGGTACAGTTGGAGAAAACAGTTTAAGAATCTCTCATGACTATCTCTGTGTAGGAAGGCAGATGAGAGGAGGAATCCTGATGGTGATTAAAGCTGGCTAACAGAGGGTGCAAAGAGTGGAGAAGCTGGTAATTTTTCATCAGGAGATACACATTCCTTCACTGAGCTGCACAGAGCCTAGGTTCCATGCTATATTAAAGATATTGTTAAATGACTGGGGCTGTACATTTGTAAAATTAAATTAGTTTAGTTTTGTCTTTAGTTTGTCTTAGTTTAGTAAGACAAGAAACGGTGATCAGGTTCACATCATGGCAAATAACTCCACATGGTTTCCATAGTGTGGGGATTTTTGCCTGAACTAATTGGTTAGATGGTCATGTGATTCCTTGAGCAATGTGGTGCCTGCTCCCCCCCCCGTCTTGTCCTCCACTCTTGCCATGCATCTGGGCAGCCTCTATGAGCAAAATCTCTGGTTAACTGAGGTTTTGAGGTGGGGTTTCCCACTTCCCCTTTCTGAGTGCGCCTTCATCTCTATAACACTTGCTAGACACTTCAGCCCCCAAAGAAATATTGATTAACTCTTAATAAACATGTTTGCTGCAATTGGCCTCTTTTTCCCGCTGTGCCTGCTTCTCTAGTTCTAAAAGTAAGCAGGAAGATGGGCATATTGATTGGACAATAGAGATTAAAGCAAGTGATGACATGTAGAGAATGGATGTCTGAGTGACCATTTTTGTGGCAGCTCTTTCTATAGGACTCTATGGTGTTTCCATACCAACAGTGGGAAAATGAAGGTCCTGGATTTGGACAACTGGAAAATTGTGGAAACCTAAGAACACCAAAGGTACCAGAAACACCATGACTGGGTCCAGACAACATGGCAGACCAACAAATTTAAGAAATCTCCATGGTTTCTCATGATGTGT